TCATTTTGTTTTGGCGAACCGCGCTGGTGAAAAACTTTCATAGTTGCATCCAGTAGCACTGTGGAGTCGGCGGTAAGCAGATGTAGCAGACAACACTCCGGTGCCGTCGAAGACCACTGGTGCCGTGGGTGCGCGGGCTCTCTTCCCGCGGCGGAAAACGAATAGTTCTGTGCATCGCGCAAGGATTGCTTCGCGCACATTCGCCAACTTCCTCTTTCTGGGGGCATTATCGCAGCGCACGCTCGCGCTGTCGCCTGCCCATAGTTTCCCCAGTTTCCCCTCCTGTCTTCCTTGCTCCGTGAGTCCAGGTGACTTTTTGACGTCCATTTGCAAGAAAAGGTGTAGGATTCTGTGATTTGAAAAATTCTACTGGCACAATTGTCGAATCGTGGACTCTATCAACGTGTTATGGAGGCCCTGATGTACGAGTGAAAACGGACTGAAAATATTTGTTGAACACTTTGGGATAGCGGGAGCATTATCCTCAATTACGCTGCCGATTTCTAACTGCTCGGCATTGTTTTCAGTCTTGAAAAAATAGTACCAAAATTTGCTTGGTTCATCTGTCATGATAGTATGTGGTGGCGAAAAAATTGTTATGCACAAAGCTCATTTCCTGTTTTAGCTCAAGGGTTAATCTATGTACTTCTTAAGAGCAGCTTTTGCATTTGCACATGAGCTTAAATTTTTTTTTTTATGAATACAGTCAAATCTCATTATTTCGAACATGCTTAATTCGAACTTCCGTTTAATTCGAACTCACGATGAGGTCCCGTCAAAGCTATGTGTATTCCAATGGATGAAAACGCCCGGTAATTCAAACGTGCAAACACTTGCGACGGTTAGTTCGAACATACTGCGCTCCGAAAATGCTCTCAGTGCCCCGCCCAATCCTTCGGCGGCACCTGCGACACCTCAACGCTGTTCGCAAAGGAAATGAAAAGGAAAGAAAAGGCTACGGTGGAATGATTGCTCTCTCTCAAATGCCGATCTGCAACACGCCTGTGCCAGAAGTGTGGCAGCTTGGGCTAGTTGGTATGACATGACGATAGTTATAGCGCGAGAACAAGACGACGACACAGAGACAAGAAGTCTTTCGTGTCCTTCTTGTCTCTGTGTCGTCGTTTTGTTCTCGCGCTATAACTATCGTCATGCCTGTGCCAGGCTTCTTCCTTTTCCGCTCCTGACACGTAAAGATCTATCTCCTGCCGACTCCGCGCGCAAAGACAGAGAGGAAAAAAAAAAAAAAAGAAAGCTGTTGCTCAGTCTGGCCCTCTCACACGCGCTGGTGCCATGCTTCCCCCTTATTGTTCCAACGACGGGCCTGAAAAGAGCAAAAAAAAAAAAAAAAAGCTGCCATGGAGTTTTGGTTCTCTCTCAAATGGCAATCTGCTTCACTCCGCTTGGAGACGCTCTTCCTTTCTCGTCACGTGCTGGCCACGCTGCGGCTTCGGCGCAGAGGGTAGTAGCGAAGATGCAGTCGTTGTTGTTTCGTCTTTGGAGAGCGTCGGCGCTGGACATTGCCGCGCGCAACTTTTCTTGCCAGGAAAATGCTGAAGCAGAAGTAGACATGCTTTGCTAGCTGCGTACCGTGTCCATCTTTCCTATCTTCTCCTTGCTTCTGGGTGTCGCTGTCCCGGCATCATGTGCTCTCCTTCCCCCTCTCTATCTATATATCTTTAATCCTATCCTTTTAATCCCTCCTTACCCCCATTCCTCGTGAGGCACTGTGATGCAGAGTTTATGGGGCTCAATTTTACCTTCTTTTCTCTTTAAGAATCACATAAGCCGCGTGTGACATTTACTCGCTGCAAGGCAAACATGTGCAGAGGCGCATCACCAATTACTTCAATTAATATTGGATGCCCTGTGATTTGTGAATAAATGTAAGTCTTCTGAAACTTCCCCCTCGTGTGTTAGCTCAACGCACATGTGCCACTGAGTGCGGAGCCCTCCATTTACTTAATTCATTAATTCGAACGCCTTTTAATTCGAACAAATTTTTGAGCCCCTTCGAGTTCGAAATATTGAGATTCAACTGTAATACCCTGTGATATCCAGGGTGTTTTGCACTTTGTACGTTTTAGTTTTGTAGGGGCAAATCCTTCTTTACAGTGAGCAATCGCTTCTTTAAAAGTCTGCCACGAATTCTCCACTGTACCATATTTTTTCAAACAAAAGTTTTTAGATAAGTTTTGCAGACTTATGGGAATATGTATCATCATTGTGGGCATTTCGAGCTGTTACTAGCTGGTTTGCAACAAGCAGGACTACTCTAAATGTATAAAAATGAGTACACCTGTGTCTGCCTTTGTTCTTTCTCCTTCTATTGGGCTATCCATTATCTGAAGTAGAACCTACTAGATGTATGTTAATGAAAGCGTATAGATCAATTCATTGTTGCATACACTGTTAGACTCGGTAGTTCTAGGGCACAAATCAAATGGGAATCAGAGGCTCACTGTATCCTTTATGATAATCGGAAGGTGTGTTGGATGAAAAGCCACCTCTTTGCAAGTCTTTTCAAACAAAAATCTTTTTTAGTGAGACTTGTGTTAACAGAGCTATCAGCATTCTGATGTTGCTATGCCTTTGCAGCTTACATTTCATTTTCGTTTTTCCTACACTGTATGCTTTACACATAAGAAACAGTATCCACCATGACTATAAGGCAGTTGTAAACTATTTAAGGATCAAATTTAAGGATCAAAGAAGAAACAAGTGGTAGTTGAAGCATTCATTGCTATTTTGTCTGCATCAGCTTATGACTACTCAGAAAAAGTGGGTGTTGTGTGACATCATAGTGAAGTCACTCTGTGCCAAAGACTAAAAGGAGTAAAGTGGAAGAACTGCAGAACAATACCTAGCTAATGCAAGAGTGACCCAGCAGTTTCATTGATGTTGTGAACATTTCTGTATGTTAGGCACATTATATGATGAGGACGGGGTATTTTTTATCCAAATTTTTTGTTGTAGTCCTTTAAAATAACAAACCACACTGCTTTGATGAAAACATTTTTATGCTAAAAATTTCTACTTTTCACACTGCTCGGCATTCTTGAAAAACTTTTGACTGGAACTTGAAGGCGCTTGAAAGACCTTGAATTTTGTCCTTAAAAACACGTGCAAACTCTGACTGGTATAGTCATCAATGCTTAGCTTTTCGAGCAGTACTGATAATTCTGTTATCTACTATCCTGGGGCTATCCCAAGGTAGCCTAGAATGCAATATTTCACCTATGTCAGTCAGAGGAGCAATTGCCAGGTTTGTGCGAAGAAAAATAGTGCTCACGTGTAACGAATGTTGCTTCAATAGCATAGACCTTGGCTCTCCAAAAGAGCACTGATAGGCAAGTCTAAAGAAGTTGGGACATTGCATTTTGGAGGGCCCATGATGCATAACGAGTAAAAGTGCAAGTTATGCCAACAGTGTACTTTCTAAGTTAAAAATGTGTGCAAGTGCAACAGTAAAAATAACATGAAGTAGCCATTGAGATTTCATGGTGTGTGACGTATCCACAGCAACCGTAAAATTTATTGTGGAGGCCCTACATTTTTCCAAATATCAACAGTAAATCCAGACACACTTCTATAACACTGCTCATTATAGAGGTCTTGTTATTTGTATAATTGTATGTTTTCTGCCACAAGGTGGAGTTGAATTCCCCAATCAGTGTTGATTATTTTAATATTTCATTTTTTCTAGAGCAATTGATGAGTTCTGACATTTAAAGGAATACATTCTGTCACCTGTTGTGTACACTTTCTTTATGGGCTAGTAATGGGGGTCCTTTAAAAGTTGAAAAAGGAAAGCAGACTTTGAAGTCTAATTGTGAACTCCCAGCCAAAAGTACAAGGGTTATATTTGTTCCAGATTGCTAGAACGGTTTTGTCAGGAAAGTTGCACGAAGCCTTCATTGGGTCAGAATGACACGTGCTGGCATTTATTGTGAACTAAAATAGAGGACATTTTTTAATAGCATTTGGGGTCACTTACAGTACAAAGATGTATGTTTCCAGTGGTTGCATTTGTCTGTATTCTGTACTTCTTGATTGCTTTTGCACAGTAATAGTAACAAAAGTGCTGCTGATATTTCCATGTATGTAATACAACACATATCTGCAGTTTAAGACCATGTAAATGAAAGCCCATAAATATCTATACAGATCTGTACACGTGGCATCATTAGTGGTTTTTCAGATAGTGCAGGCGTCAAGTGTTCACCAGGAACTATCAAACTCGCGTAACTGACTCAGAGACACTCAGTAGAACAAATACTAGGTTCAGGTTTTTGAAGTCTTAGCCAGGTTTGAGGAGACAACCATTTATGAAGTTAAAATTTAACTGCAGTTTTTAATGTGTGCCATTGCCTTTTTTTAGATGCCATGTTTTAGGGTTTTTTTTGTGCACTTAAGAAAATATATAAGTGTGACTTTTTTGTATTTGGTTTATACTTTATTCCATCAGCTTGCTACCTCTTTGTCATGTTTCTTCATTTTCTTCTCCTGTGCTTCTCCTGTGCTCAGTCTACCAACTTTTCCATTAATTATAGTTTTTGGGGTTTATCTTCATAAAACCAGCATATGATTATGAGAGATGCCGTAGTGGAGGGCTCTGGAAATTTTGACTGCCCGGGGTTCTTTAATGTGCACCTACATCCAAGCGCACGGGCTTCACACATTTACGCTTCCACCGGAAATGCAACCACTGTGGCCAGGATTCCATCCCGCGACCTGTGGGTGAGCATCTGGGTGTCTTAGCCACCAGACCACTGTGGCGGGTCAACCTTTCCATATACAGAGGCATTAAGATGATGGCAAGTTATCATTAATTAATCAGTGTAAAGCTTGCCTGAGATGCTCTGCTGATCAGTACACAATTTGATGGCATGATTTCTTTCATAGCTGTTTAGAAGTTCACCAGCATAAGGATTTGCACTGTGATCTAGATGAAGATGTTAATGTAAAACAATGTGTTGTTCTCTTTGAAACATTTACAGCGGACATTATGCGAGAGATGGGTGCTGAGACAATCATAGCTGTTGACGTGGGCAGCCAGGACGACACTGACCTTACCAACTATGGCGACTGCTTGAGTGGCTGGTGGCTTCTTTTCAAACGCTGGAACCCTATTTCAAACACTGTCAAGGCACGAACCATTTATTTTTATATTTAATTATTTTTGTAAGCTGAAGCTCATTTGGATTTACAGTAATTTTTTTACTTCTCCTGTCAATAAGGGGTGAATCAAAAGTGTTGGACCTGCTTGCAAAAGAACAAGGTGTGAGTGTGTGTAGTAGCAAGTCCTTTTACCAACATCTTATTCCTAAACTGCTTCTGTTTTTGCTCACTTTAGTTAGTGCTAGTGATTCTGGAGGTTTGAAAGACAAAACTTGTCTCTCAAACATCCAGTGTCATGTGTGTCATGTGTGTTACTCGGGTGGATGTGTTAGTGTTTGCGAGAGTCAAGGTTGCGCTAAATATCTTACAAGAAAACTAATGAGGTTGAGCTGTGGTAACTGTTCGAATATAAGAGTTGACCCACAATTCAGGACAAAATTTTGTGCACAATAAATGAAAATATATAGCGAAAATTGGGAAGTATATGTGGGTAGGCATTGCAATAACAAGCTTTTTTCTGCAACACGTCGTCTTAGATTACTTGTCAGATGATAGGAAAGCAATTGTGTTTTTTTGTTTGCTGCATATGTTCTGTTTTATTGGCAGGTGTAACTGAGTATTATGCATGTAAATATTGAAGTCCCAAAGGCTGATTGTTTTGAAGGTGTAATACGGAGCCTCCTAAAAATGAAGTCTTCTCCTGACAAATGCAAGTTGTCATGCTAATGTTATAATGAAGGTACAGCAGGTGCGCTAAAAAAATGTTTGTATGATATCATGCACTTTGCATTCCTCACAGGACAAATGGTGAAATCAGTCGAGATGGGTCTGTAATACCAGGGGTGTATCCAGAAATATTTTTCCGGGTAACAAGAGGTTGCCTATTCAAAAAACACGCATCAAGTTGAGCGTAACTTTGGTCATGTTGAACAACCTGCCTGATGACTTTATCGAAATTAGTAGGGTTGAGTGTCGCGTGACATCATAAACTTCTGATGTGCTCTGCCTGGTGCATGAGTTATGGGTACACCGTTAATGGCCTGCATAAAGCTGATTGAAGTAGACATTTCATGGGATATAAAATGGGAAATACTGTGACAGAGGAGCTCCGTATTCTTAGCGAAGTATGGTTTTGGGATCAAGCACAAGCAAATAGTACGCTTACTTGAATTTAGAGAAATAAATACAGATATGCAGGCTGACTGATTTAGTACAAAGACTGATATCTTGAAGCAATGAGTGTGTGGGAAAAAAAATAAATGCAGTCAACAAGAACACAAAATTGAATAGAGGTGACATAGTTGTAAAATTGGTGCCTAAGAAGTGTATCCAGGTAACTTAAGGCCTCTATCTGAGATTTCCTAGGGAATTGCAGATGTTACTGTATAGTTAATCAATTAGTAAAGCTAAATTTCATCATTACTGGCCAAGGTTTCGAATAAGTGTTTGACAAACAAATATAGTGACTATAGCAGTAAAAATTGATGCTAACGCTTTGTTTAAAATCTTGGTTAAAAAAGGGTGCATAGTAAGTAACAAAGATAGTAAGCGGCAATGCTTTTTTTTGTGACAGTTATATGCTCAAAAAGCCTAACAGAAAAAAATACGGCCAGTTTTTTTTTAGTTTTCTTTTTGCTATTAACGGTGTCACAAAAGGGGGGGGGGGGGTGAAATAGGAGGTGCAAAAGTTACTTTTTTCTGTAAAGTAAGTTTACATGAAACATTCACTCCATTCCCAGATCCCAAGTTTGCCAGAGATCCAGTCACGCCTGGCATATGTGAGCTGTGTGAGGCAACTAGAGGAAGTGAAAACCAGTGACTATTGCACGTATGTGCGGCCTCCCATTGATCGCTACAAGACACTCCAGTTTGGCGCCTTCGATGAAATCATGGAGGTTGGTTATGTTCATGGCCGCACCCTCTTCGCTGGCATGAAGGCTGGTCAGCGCACACTTCGCTCAGTCCTCAATCTGGACAAGGCACGCTCTGTCCAGGCAAGTTTATATATTTATTACTCTTTCAATGCCAGGGTAAACCAGAGGTATCATTACTTTCTGCTAGTGTGCAGCATAATTTAAATGAAGCTGCATCATAGGCAAGATGACCTGGTTAGATACACAGGCTTAATCCTGGTCTTGACAGTTGCATTTTCAATGGAGGCAAAAGTGCTACAGGCTCTTGCAGTACTTATCAGATGCATTTGAAAGAACCCCTAATAGTTAAATTTCCAGAGTGTTTCACTATGGTGTGCTTCATAATATTGCAGTTTCGGTACGTATTCCAGGGTGTCTACCAACCTGAAAAAGTCAGCGAAGTTGGACCCTTATGGAAAAGTCATAGAAAAGTTGGGGAATTTCTGAAAAACCCAGCCAGGTCATGGAAACTGACAGCAGTTCTTTGCGACCGTCACAAAACTAAGCATTAACATTGATCAAAGCTTAAAAAGTCGCTCTTTAAATTGCAACTACGGTGAGCTGCTAGAAGGCGTCTGAAAAAAAAAATGACAGTGCATAACTGTTGCTTTTTAGTGTAAACGTAAAAGGATACACTGACCCATAGAACACAAAGTTTACTGACGTTTCAGCATGCGATATGGGAGGGAGCCTTGTTCACAATACAAGCCATAAAAAAGGCACAGCGTACTTAAGTACGCCCAAATACTAGACTAGGGCGAATAGTGCTTTTTTGGGGCGAAGTGAATAGCCCTCAAGGTCAAGCCATAAAAAAGGCACAGCGTACTTAAGTACGCCCAAATACTAGACTAGGGCGAATAGTGCTTTTTTGGGGCGAAGTGAATAGCCCTCAAGGTCGAAGAAATTCAAAGCGATTACGAATAGTTGCCAGTCGTGTAAAGAACAAGAGTGAACAGTTAAAAGGTCTAAGCCTTTATTTCCAAATTCGCAATGTAAGCGCTATCACACAGAATCTTTTGGCAATATATATTAAATAAAACTATTTGTAGACTAGGGGTAAATGGTGCTCTTCTAGCTGCGCCCTTTTACACAGGTGCTACTTACACACACATATTAGATAATATAAAACATGCACATAGAACATCACAAATTATTCGTAGACTAGGCATAAATGTAGGTGCTCCCTTCTACATACATATTAGTACATTGAAACCTCGTTATAATGTGATGGGATATAACGAAATGATGGATATACCTAAGTAAATGCAATTGTTCTTGAAAGCTATATTGAGAACCATACATTTTGAATCTCATTGTAACGAAGTAAAATTGACTGGTAAATGGATATAACGAACTAAATTAGTCTATCAAATAGTCTATAAAAAAATGACCGTAGTGTGTTAAGTATATCGTTTTCTGCGGAGTTTGAACCTCGTTCGGCACGGCTCTTTCAAAACTCTCGTGCCGACCTTGCAGCCACGCCCCGCGTGGCTGAAAGAGCCATCCTCACACAGCCAGCGGAAAGGATTGAGAAAGCGCTCAGCAGGTCACATGACCGAGAAGCGGTGCCGCGGTGCAAAGTGATTTCCCTCTCACTTGGCAATGACTGCGTCTCCGCTGCTACCCTCTGCATCGAGAAAGAAGGACTCTCCGCGACAGCTTTCTTTTTTTTCTCTCTCTCTCTCTGCATACGGCCTTGAAAAAAGGAGGGTCTCTACGTGCTGAGACGGAAAATGGAGAAGCGTGGCACAGGCGCGTCGCAGATTGGCATTTGAGAGAAAGCAAACAATCCGCCACAGTCTTTTCTTTACTTTTCTTCTTTTCCTTCTTCGCGCAGTGTTGAGAGAAGCCGCCATGGGATTGGGCATGGTGCTGAGAGCATTTTTGAAGCGCGGTATGTCGAATTAATCGTCGCAAGTGCTTGCGCATTCGAATTACAGAGCGTTTTCGCCCATTGAAATACACATAGCTTTGATGGGACCTCAGTGTGAGTTCGAATCAACCGGAAGTTCAAATAAAGCGTGTTCGAATTAATGCGATTAAACTGTGTTTATTTTCCGTCGCACGCGTGGTCCGGTAGCGGTACATCGGGCCGCAAGGCGGTTTCCTTCTTTGCATGCTTATAGGTGTGCGCCCATCTGAGCATACACTGCCACAAACTGTTATAATCGATATAACAAAATAATGGATATAACAAAATGAATGTGGCTCCCCTTCAACTTTCTTATAACGAGATTTGAGTGCAATTACTCTGAGATAATATGAAATACACACATAGAACATCACAGAAAGTCTTTCGAAAATATACATATTTCAACAAACAAGATATGCAATAAGGACCAGAAGCTCCGAAAACATTTGAAAGTCCTCTCAAAGTTTAAAGGTTACATCACGAAAAAAATATCGCAGCAGTAAAATCGCAGAAGTTCCTTGTTTCTGCTAACTGATTTAGAAACTCGGTATGCTTCAGATAAAAAACAAATCACAGGTAATCACATTCTTAAGGTGTCCCTTTCCAAAATTAAAATGAGTCGAAAGTTCTTATGCAAAAAAACTAGTTCTTTGACATGTTGCGGAAGAAGGTGCTCTCTTCTGCAGGTTACAATGGCACCCACTGTCGAGAATAATCTTTCACTTGTTGTTTGGGTAGTGGGTACTGACAGATACCTGCGAGCTATCTTCACAAGGAATGGGTGAAGGTGGCTGCCTGTGTGCTTCCACCATTCGAGTGGATTCTCACAGCAAGGAAAGAGGGGAGATCTCAGATAGCACTCAGCATCATCTTTGATGGAAGGACCAGACCTCTTAGAACCATCTGACGCAAACCTAGCAAAGGCCCCCCCCACAGAAGAATCTTGGGAGCTATCAGAACCAGTCTTATTCCGACTTGATGGTTCACAGTGCATCACTTCCAGTGTGCCCTCTGCTGCTTTGATGAGAAGAGTGCAGGCCCATTTCTTCTCGGCCCTTTCTGTGTAACAGACATCCTTAAGTCTTGGATCCAGCAACATCGCTAGAGTTGTATCTTCTGATGTCTTGACACGAGGAAACCGTGCCTTAATACTATGTGCCAGAGTTACAGCAATAGCCATCGACTCATCTGACTGAGCTGCGTATCGAGCTACAATTGAACACTGTTATATCGAACCTACATATATCGAACTCGTAAGTTATCCCCTTGTAATCCTTTTGTAAAGGTATAGAAATTTGCACGTTTATATTGAATGGTATTTTTACCCACCTTCGGATATATCGAACGCCGCCCGAGCTGAAATGTGCCGAAGTGCACCTTTCAGCTTGCGCCTGCCCCCCACCCCCACGATTTCTGTGGCAGCGCGGATCTGCGCGCGATTTGTTAGGTGTGTTTTGGCACACGCAGTGCCCGGCTAGCCTGGCGACCTCCGCGTGGCACCAGGCCTCCACCAAAATGCTAGAAAAAAGGTAAGGGCAAAAGTGCTCGGACTGCACAATCTCTAACTTGCCGAATGGCTTTTTTTTTTTTTTTTCGTTTCTCTTCTCTCTCCCTCATGCTTTCTTCACTTGCAGAGCAGGAACAAAAAAGCAGGCGTCCTCCTCCTCTCGGCTATTTTTTCTTTTATTTTCGTTGCTGTTTCGTGAGTTTTTATGAGCCAACCACAGCTCGCGCCTTTTGCAGTTGCCCTCGCAGGTTGCCATTGCCTTGCGAGCGCTTTGTTGCTTCCGCTGTCGCGTCGCTTACGTACCACTATCGTGTAGCTATGGCTAGCATCAAGAAGCACAAGACTCTTGACTTAGCGACCAAGTTGAAGTCTATTCAGCGTGTTGAGGCGGGTGAGAAATGTTCGACCGTCGCGAACGACTTCGGCATACCACAGAGCACTCTGAGTACCTTTACCTTGTTGAAAAACAAGGCAGATATTAAGGCAAAGGCGGCAGCGCAAAGAACGTTGGGAGCTTGTCATGTGCACGCTTCTGCCCACAGGAATGTAGAAAAGGCACTCTGTGCCTGGTTTTTCGAATTGCACACGAAGAACATTCCAGTGGATGGCCCAATGCTGATCGCCAAGACCTAATGGTTTGCCACTGCTCTCGGTGAAACAACTTCGCCAGCAACAATGGGTAGCTTCACCGATTTAGGAAGCGCTACAACATCGTTAGCGAAACCAACTCTGGCAAAAACGAAGCTGTCAGCATTTAGGACATCCAGCAGTGGGTGGCGAAGGAGTGGCTGGAAATCTCCGCAATTTTTTTTCCTGCGGAGATCTTCAATGCCTGGCAAGACGTGAAGATGGACACAATGGTCAACTGCTTCCGCAAGGCAGGCTTTAAGATAGCGGAACTTTTGGAAACCGGTGAAGACGACGAGCGCATAGATGGTGTGTTTCGTGAGTTGTCGTCCCACTTCCTGGCAGCAGTTCCACACGGAGTGTCTGCAGACAACTTCGTGGAAGCAGTCTACAATGTCCAGGACGACAGCTCATGTGACGAGGAGGATTGTGCGGACGAGATGCTGGCTACACGCGCGTACTCCGCCGCTGCAGTGGCGGCAGCGTTCGGCATCATTCGCTGTTGTATCGGCCACATGGTGGAAACTGCCGGGCTGTCGCAGCTGGACAGACTTGATACGATCGAGACTAGAGTCTTGAACATTTCAAAAACGAAGATGCAGGCCAAGATTAGCAATTTTTTTTTTTAGGCAAATAAATCATTCTGTTGCGGCGTGTGTGCGGAATCAGTTGTTGTTTTTGAATGCGTCTTTTGTAGGTGATGATCTGCTACAAGTAAGCTCTCGGGGCCTCTATTTTTTATATCAAATTTTTTATATATCTTACTGATTCACGATCCCTTTTGAGTTCGATATATCCGTGTTCGACTGTAGTACGATGCAACTGAATGACTTAGGACAACGTGGGATACTTGTCCCCATATAGCTCTGTCGTGGCTTGGGAAAGTGGATCAATCATCTTCACAGCAGCAGTCATCAGCTTCCCTTCAGCCATAGTGAGGTTGTCTACCCCATCACACTCTGAGAGCTCCATGGTGATAGGCTTGCGAAGCTTAAGCAACCTAGACATCATCTCGTGCTTGCTATTCATCTTGCA